CCCTAATACGGTGGTGCGTGCCTGTAATCCCAAAACTTGGGAGGAGAATTGCTTGGATTTCAAGGTCAAGCTGGCTACATAGTACCCCCAACACACACACATACACACACACACACACAATTAAACAAACGAACAAGAAGAGAATTAGCTAAGAAATAGAGTTCATAGATCTTTATCCCTAAGCGCCTCACAGAGCAGTGGGAGAGAGAACAATGAGGACAATGAGCCAGCACTGCCAGGCAATGGTCATGAGCACACGAGGAAGGGACGTGCGTGCGTGCGTGCGTGCGTGTGCGTGTGTGTGTGTGTGTGTGTGTGTGTGTGTGTGTGTGATGGCCCTCTGCTCTAGCTCTTGACCTTATTATGCCTCTAGGGCCAACAGAATGAAACTATCATCAAGCCACCACCCCTCCCACTTCCCAAAAGCAATGCTCCTTACGCCTTATCAAATACCTGGAAGGACCATTTAGTGAAAACACCCCCCCCCCATTCTATGTGGTAACACTACACATTTTCCCCATTGGATTTCATTGTCACCAACTGTCATCTTAGTTCACGAAATCAACATTGCGTGGCTGTTCTGGTATGTGAAGCCTTTGTCAAATGAAGGGATGTGTATACACATGAAGTAAGCACACATTTTATTCAAAAAACCCTCACAGGTATTGATTGATATATGTGACTAAGCACGCACTTTATTCAAAAAACCCTCACGGGTCTTGGTTGATGTATATGACGTAAGTCACAGATTAGACTATAAGCAAATCCATCAGTGAGCTACGGGCAGTCAGGAGAGGGGTCAAAGGGTCTGGAGAAGAAGAGGAACTGTGCCTAAAGAAGTGTTTGCCTAGAGGGAGTAAGCTGCGGTTTGGGCATGTGTCACCCAAAGCATCTTCACATGGTCAGAGTAGAGGTGGAAGATGGGTAACCAGAGCTTGAACGAGACAAAGACAAGCAACACGGTTGGCACAGGAAACTCCAAGACTAGCTGGGCGTTGGTGGCGCACACCTTTAATCCCAGCACTCGGGAGGCAGAGGCAGGCAGATCTCTGAGATTTTGAGGCCAGCCTGGTCTACAGAGCAAGTTCCAGGACAGCCTCCAATACAATACAGAGAAACCCTGTCTTGAAAAACCAAAAAAAAAAAAGAAAGAAAGAAAGAAAGAAAGATCCAAGACTGTGTTGCGCTATCAGCGGGGTCCAGCAGGTGGGCAGGGGGGAATCAAACAAGGGAGACAACAATGGGGGCCCCTGTGTCCTTACAAGGTAGCAGTTTAAGCACTGGCAGGCTGAATTTGTAACACGTGAGAGATGAATTCAAGAATTTATTTGCTGATATAATTAATAAACCTTATTTTCTTTCCCTTGCTTTTCTCTGAGAGATGGTATTAGTGGTTTCTTCATAGACTGGCAAGGGCAAATGCTCTTGAGAAGGCTAATGTGTGTGGTCCTATGGACAGTTGGTCTTTAAGAACACCGCAACTGGATGCTGTCCTTCCAGTAGCTCTATCTGGAAGACCCCTAGCTGGGTGTTGGTGGCGCAAGCCTTTAATCCCAGCACTCGGGAGGCAGAGGCAGGCAGATCTCTGAGATTTTGAGGCCAGCCTGGTCTACAGAGCAAGTTCCAGGACAGGCTCCAGTACAATACAGAGAAACCCTGTCTTGAAAAACCAAAAAAAAAAAAAAAAAAAAAAAAAAGACCCCTCTCCTTGGTCTGCTGGGTCAAGACTTTAATCTCCAAAGCTTCGTCCTTGGGTCTTGAACCCTACATTTCCTATCATGCTTGGTCTTTTTCTGTTGCTTGATCATGACAGCTACTCAAGTAGGAGCAGAAGGGACAAGGGGAACAGGAAGAAAAAGCCCCAAGATGGCAAAACTCAAGTGTTGATTTGCAAATTCTCTTAGAGTGGTGGTTCTCAGTCTGTGGGTCGTGGCCCCTTTGGGGGTCAAATGACCCTTTCTCAGGGGTTGCCTAAGACCACCATACCAGACACTTACATAACGATTTGTAGTAAAATTACAGTTATAAAGCAGCAACAAAAATAACGTTGTGGCTGATGGTCACCACAACATGAGGAACTGTATTAAGGGGTCACAGCATTAGGGGGGCTGAGGACCACTGCCTTGGAGGCACTGCTTGGACCCATGCAAATCAAAGCCACACTCATGATGCTGGAGGGTGCGTTTCCGTCTCTTCACATCACGGACGGCTGCATGCCGTCCCTGGAGGAGGTCTTGACGGAGCCGCCCGGCGGCAGTAGTTTTCAAAGAACCGGCGCCTCGTGTTTGCTTACTTGTCAGCGATGTGCCTTCGTGGAAAATGAGACCTTGTCTGCGTCTTAATTTGGGACCACCAGAATCCCAACACTCACTCGCTCAGGGGTCCAACTGGAGTTTGCTAAGGCAGAGCTTAAAGGGGCTTAGCAGTAAGCAGGGGGACTCTATATTCCAAATCTTCTCCCGGAAACTCTCCCGTGACGTGCTCTCTTGTCACTGTGGGTGAGAGGTGAGCAGATTGCTTCGCCAACACTCCATTTGGCGTGGTGAACCTTTGTTTGAATGACACGGCGAGCGAAGGCAGGTTATCATTGCTGTGCCCAGTGGTCTGACCCAGAGAGCAGAAGAGCCGTGAGAGGTGAGGAGAGGTGAGATTAGCGAGGCTCAGGCAGGATAATTGGAAAAGCAGGGAGTAGGCAGTAAATTATGCCTCTCTGCTGTGGCTTAGTTACAACGCTAGAGAAGATGAAACAGATTGGCAACCCTGGATGAAAAGCAAATGCGGAGGGTCAAGGCGGGGAGCCTAGAGCTGGGCTCTTGGGGCTTGCCTGAAGCTTGCTAGGTTTCCATGCTTAGAAAAAGGCGCAGAGTGAAATGACGGTCTCTGTGATTTCTCTGGAAGCTATCACCAGAGCCTAGACCTATTAGGAAGAAACAGGGTGAAGAGTCTTCCAAATTAAGGAGAGACAGAGAGTGTGTCAGAGACAGAGACTGAGGTTGACATGGGAGGGGAGCGAGGAAGCCAACTCAGTTAATGGGGAGACAGCTGTGTCGTGCTTGCCTCTGGGGCACCTGCAGCCTTGCCTTGTGAGACTGGGAAGTTCCTTAACATCTGTGCCTCAGTTTCCTCGCTGGAAGCAAAGGAATCACTGTGTTGTAAGTTTGTATATATAAAGCTCTTAACCCTTTGCTTGGCACCCAGAAAACAATCAAGGAAGCTACTTGGAGACGCTAATGGCTTTGAAAACATTTTGGAAATGTGAAGGACTCCCTTTCTTCTCTCTCCCTTCCTCTCCCTCCCTCCCATCTTTCGTTGTATCTTTCCTTTCCCTCCCCCTCCCATCCATTTCTCCACCCCTATTTTTTTTTCTTTTTTAGGCAGTTTTGCTAAGCACCCTGGGCTGGAAATGGCTATGTAGCTCAGACCAATCTCAAGCTTACGTCCCCCCTACCCCTCGCCTCAGCTTCCCAAGCACTGGGATTACAGGTATGAACCTGCACATTCAGCTCAAGGCTGGGCTATTTTTGTTTACTAATACTATTTAGTGTGTGGAACCCGGTGACGGAACTCTTTTCCTGTGTCCCACGTGATTTGTACATGATGCAAACGGCCATGAGGGTCCGTGCACATAGGTATGTGTGTGGGGTCCAGAGGTCAACCCTGGACGCCTTCCTCACCTGGGGTCCCCCTGCTTCTGCGCCCCAGCACTGCCGTCACAGATGGACACCAGCACATGCAGCTCTCATGTGACTAGAGGACCCAGACCTGTCGTAATGCTTCTGTGGCAAGCTATGCGAGCTAAGCCGTCTTCCTGTGTAAGCTTTCAGTGTTCTGCTGAGCACGTCTGTAGCTGGAAGACATGCACCTCTGGGACCTTCATATTAGCTCAGTTTTAGAAATTTACACAAACCCGGGTATTGGTGGCGCATGCCTTTAATCCCAGCACTCCGGAGGCAGAGGCAGGGGGATCTCTGTGAGTTTGAGGCCAGCCTGCTTTACAGAGCGAGTTCCAGGACAACCTCCAAAGCCACAGAGAAACCCTGTCTCATAAAACAAAACAAACAAAAAATTCACACAAGGTCGTCTTACATTAGACTAATAAATACTGAATTTTGTATGACCACATAAATCCAGGAGACGGTCACACTCCACTGCCTTCAAAGTATTACTGAGAGCACTTTACCATGGCAGAAAGTCACCTCACCCGTGGCAGAAGCTGCCAGTGTGGCCTCGTGTAAGCCATTTTGTGTTCATAGCCACTGTGTCAGTGGAGCCTTGTAATTAGGTTGTGACATCTTGTATTTTGCATATTGAAATATACATTGCTTTATTATAAATAAGCTCTCTCTCTCTCTCTTGAAACAGGGTTTCTCTGTGTAACAGCCCTGGCTATCCTGGAATTCACTCTGTAGACCAGACTGGCCTTGAACTCACAGAGATCTGCCTGCCTCTGCCTCCCCAGGGCTGAGATCAAAGGTGTGTGCCACCACTGCCCAGGATAATATATCTCTTTTATGTCAAAGCATTGTGCTGGTTTCCTTTAGATATGTGTGAGCTGAGTTATGTTTATTAATTGTATTCAGTATATTAAAGTATTTTTAAAAAGACGTTATTGAAAAGGTGTAGACTAGGGGTATAGTTGAGAGCCTGCCTAGCTTCCAGGAGGCTACAGATTCCACCCCCACCACCACACACACAAGCAGGAGTCCTTCACCCCCCGAGTGTGAAGCCATCACGAAGTCTGATTCCAGAAGCCCAGCTCTGACTCATGAAATCAGAGCCCCGAGATGGGGGAGGGTCACATGTGGTCTGACTTTGCCTCTGCTGTTTAGATGCTTATTTGACAATTAGAGCTCATTGCCTGTACCTGCTCTCACTGATTCTAATTTGTAGCTCATGATTAAGACGTCAGGCCTCAGCTGGGGCTGGTGTGTATGCCTGTAATGCCAGTGGTTCGGGAAGCCAAAGCAAGCGGATGAAAAATTCAAGGCTACTCTGGGCAGTTTAGAAGACTTTGTCTCAAGAAAAAGAAGTGGGAAAGGATGGTTGAAGAGGCAGAGTGAGGGACACCGGCGCTCTGGCCTGGTTTTGTCACCTGAGGTGAGGTCCTCCGTCTGGAGAACGGATGTGTGCAAGGCTGGGCAGCCCGTAGGTGCCCAAGTGAGCCGGGCCTCGTGGAAGAGAAATGGGTGTTTCTCCTCGGGTCCTTGTTAGCTGAGCGACCCACCAAGCTTTTAAAAGCCACTGTTGAATACTAAACTTAAGAGAAAGGCTTTCTAAACTGCTCTCTCCCCATCTCCAAGAGTTACAACCAGGAGGAACGTCTCTTTTCTAGAGGTGTCTGTTGTACTTGAGAAAGGTGGAAGGCCCTCTTCGCCCTTCATACTTCCTGTCAAAGGCTGCCCCCCACCCAGCCTCAGAAGGACCCACCTCCTGTTAGGACAACGAATCCTGAGGCTTTATCACCTGTTCCTACATAAGGAAAAAATACCCCATTATTTCCTGACATGGGTAGAGAGAGAAGGGGGCCGGGGGTCTGGATGCTGTAACTCTCACAGGGCTCTGACAGGGAGCTAGACAGGGGCACGGGAAAGGTGCGTGCTGGGAATGTGCTGATGTAGAGGGAGGCTGTATTTCCATCATGGGAAGACGACAAGAAGACTCAGCTTTCCTGTGTGGTTCAGTCAGCTCTGGAAGCCATATAATGAGGAACTGTAAGCAGGCGGTTTGTAAGCCACAGAAACTTAATTTGCACTTTGGGGATCTAGAAGTCCACGATGAAGGTGCTGGCATGGTTGGGTTGGAGACTTCTATCCTCCTCCTCCTCCTCCTCCTCCTCCCCCTCCTCCTCCTCCCTCCCCTCCCCTCCCTCTCTCTCTCTCTCTCTCTCTCTCTCTCTCTCTCTCTCTCTCTCTCTCTCTCTCTCTCTCTCTCTCTCTCTCTTCTAAGACAAGGCTTCCCTAGCTGTTGAGGAACTCACTTTGCAGACCAGGCTGGCCTCAGACTCACAGAGATCCACCTACCTCTGTTTCCTGAGCGCCACGATTAAAGGTGTGCACCACCACTGCCCAGCTTTTTTGTTTTGTTTTGTTTTGTTTAACATGTCAGATAAAATAAGCATTTTTTAAAGAGAATGTGCATAATTAACATTTTCTGTAAAGACTGCCGTTACAAGTTGTACTCCTTCTATACAGAGGTACTTTAAGTTAAGGGAGCAAGTCAGGCTAAGGCCTGAACATGTGTGACCTTGGGTAGGGCTTCCCTCCTTCTCCCCTCCTTCTCCCCTCCTTCTCCCCTCCTTCTCCCCTCCTTCTCCCCTCCTTCTCCCCTCCTTCTCCCCTCCTTCTCCCCTCCTTCTCCCCGATACTGCCCAAGAATCTCAAATGCACCAGCTAATTCAGTTTACAGTAAAGCTAGGCAGGCTTCCTGCATCTGTGCGAGCCAGATTTTCACCTGATGAACCGCAGGGAAGCACCAGGCCATCTCATTTAGGTCTCTTCTTTTTGTTGTTGTTTAGGTTTTTTAAAATCTTTTTTAAAGTATATTGTTTTTCCAGCCCAGTCACAGTTTCCCTTCCCTCCCTCCTCCCCTCCCAGACCCTCCCCTCCTAAACTCTCCCCTGCCCCATCCACTTCTCTTCAGGAAAGGGCAGGCCTCCCATGGATGTCAGTCAACCATGGCATATCAATCAGGTTGCAGTGAGACTAGGCACCTCCTCCAGCAGAAAGGAAGGGTCCCTAGAGCAGGTAAGAGACAGCCCCTGCTCCCCCTGGCAAAGAGTCCCACCAGGAAGTCAAGCTCTACAACTGTAACATATGTGCAGAGTTCCTAGGTCAGCCTCGTGCAGGCCCCCTGGTTGTCAATTCAGTCTCTGTGAGCCCCTATGATGCTGGGTTAGTTGATTCTGTGTGTTTTCTTGTGGTATCTTGACCCCACTGGCTCCTGAGGTCCTTCCTCCGCCGCCTCTTCTGCAGGGTTCCCTGAGCTCAGCCTACTGTTTGGCTGTGGGTCTCTGCATCAGTTGCTGGGTGAAGCCTCTCTGATGGACTTCCGTCTTCTTCTCTGATGAAGACCTGGTTGTTCCCTGAGGCTTTGCCCTTATGCATTTATCATCTCCTAATTGCCAATACTATCACATTAGGGGTTAGTTTGATTTCACCTTATTAATAAATCCTCCTATGTTAATGGCGAAGGTCTAAGGCAAAATAAAGAGCCACAAAAACTTCCGGAGCGTCTTTCCGCGATAAACTACATGCAGAGCTGTACCATTTCCCACTAGGAGCTAAGAGAAAGACGCTAAGCTGGAAGGGAGAAGAGCCGCGGGCCGGAAGTGCTGGGCGAGCCGATTGCTAGGACCGAGCAGATACGCACAGTCGAGGTCCTGAGCTGCTGGAGTCTTCAGAGGTAAAGATGAGAGACTCGCCCTTCTCTTTGACGTTCTGCAAAGAGTTTGTGTCCAATTCCCTTTTTTTTTTTTTTTTCTGGTGCTGACAGGGAATCAGTACCATCTGCTAGAAAAAGAGAAAGGGTTAGAATGTATGTAAAAATCAAGACCGTTTGATCCGCAACCCGCATGAGCGCTGCAGCTGGGAGCAACTTGTAAAACTCGATGGATGGCCGGCTCACACTGCTGAAGACAGACACTGGAGAGAGAGCCGGTGAGCTGCTAGGCATCAAAGACCCGGGCAGACAGGAAGAGAAAGTTCTGGCAGAGCAGTAAGTGGACGCAGTCCGCAGCCTTAGCAGTTGGGGCCTTAGGAGAAAAACTGCTCTGAGCCAAGTTTGCATCATGATGTCAGAATAGCTGTCAGGGGCTGAACTCTGCGAGAAGCCCACAGTGACCTTGGGCTGGAGGACACGTGCAGGCTCTGGAGGGACCACAGGCGTCTGAGTGAGATGAACGTTGGGATGTGGGCAGTGTCCATCTCGGCTGCTTTCCTCAGATCTGTATCTTGCTGTCTGCTTACTTCTTAGGTTGCTCCTCCGGGCAACGGGTGTGGAGCCGGAGGGTTGAAAAAAACAGGAGAGGAATGGGAGTTCCCCACCCCACCCTCTCCCTTTGTAGGTGAACATCTCCTAGTGCTCCAATGGTTGCTAGCAGGACCACTGAAGTTCCTGATTCCATCCAATAGCACTGCAACATGTCTCCGAGCTCCACCGCCTGGAGTTCAAACCTCCCACCCTCCAAGTCTCTGTATTTTTCACCGTCCCCTGGGCCTTGTAGCTCCTACATGCCCCATTCTTTTTCTTACCACTAAAACAATACCCAGTGCAAGAAATTTACACGAGGGGGGATTTATTTGGCTTCGTTCTATGAAAGGATATAGGCTATCGTGGCAGGGAGGCTTGGTCGAGTTCATGGCAGTGGGAGTGTGTGGCTCCGATTCTTCTATCCTAGAAGAAGCAGCCGAGAGCTTGTAGCAGAATTGCCTTGCTGTAACCCTCAAGGCCCAGCTGTCTACCTCCTCTAGCTAGGCACCATCTTATAGAAATTCTAAGACCCCCCCCCAATGGCACCGCTAACTGTGGCCCAAGTGCTAAAAACACATGGTTCTATAAGGGACAGTTAAGACTCAAACCACAATCCCCGGCATAAAGGGACGAGTGCTCCCAATTCTCAGGTGGCTTTAGTTTCCTGGTTCAGACCTTAGCAGGTGGTCAACTATGACTTGGGGTGAGATGCTGAGGGCTAGGCTTGCTGGAACAGAGCTGGTGGTGAGCGAGACAGCCGAGCATGTGCCTGGCGTAGGCACATTCACATCTGGCAGTGCCACCTTCCGTCCCCGCGCTAAGAATGCGGGCGGTGAGCAGACTGTGTCACAGGCATCAGAGAGGACAATGAGAGGAGAGTGTTGCCTGGCTTAGGTCCTCCCAGGTTGTTTCAAGGGGAAAACTGTGATGGAGGAATGGCTGGGGGTAGGTCAAGGTGAAAAACCCTACAGAAACGGAGTTACCAAGGGCGCAAGAACCAGGGGAAGGCTGCTTATGACTCTGTTTAGAAATAGCCAAGGTGGAGCCAGTGAGAAGGCTCGTGAGTAGGGCTGCTTGATGGGAAAGCCTGGTGACCTGAGTTTAGTCCCAGAGTCTGAAAAGACCCCAGGATGTCAAAAGAAGTCAAAAGAAGGAACCCACTCCAGAATGATGTTCTCTCTTCCTCTCTCTCTCTCTCTCTCTCTCTCTCTCTCTCTCTCTCTCTCTGCACTCACACACATTAAATACATAGTATTAGTAACTGAAAGCAGAAAAGTAAAGTACCACAGTGATGTCTATGAATCACAGAGTCCCCAAGGCACATTTGGGCTTTGTGTAATGCATGTAGCACAGGCCTGGCTTCAAACAAAAGAGACAGTGTGTGGTGGGGCCACTAATGTCATATTCCTGTGATATTTCCACCACACCAAATCCCCACTAGGACAAATATATACGAATGACTCATTATAATCCCTCTGCCCCTCTTATGAGAGCTAAGCCACGAGGGCCTCTGCTAAGAAATGATAAGTGATGAGCACAGAGCCAAGCCCAGCACTCTAGTGTCGTTTTTAAAACATGAAAGATTTCCAGGAGAACCTCTGTTGTGCTGGAAGAGCAAAGGCTGCCTGTTTGAGCCACTCTGCTTTCCCTTGTAGATTATGACACAGTAATGCAATCAAAGGAAGCCTTGGTGGCTGCTGAGGTCACCACTCGGCTCCCACTGACATGCTGAGTTGGGCACGGGTCACAAGATCTGGAGGAGGGCACAGCCCTGGAGACTTTAAGAAGGCATCATTCCTCCTGTTCCTGTCTCCCGCAGAGACAACGGGGCAGGACATTCACATCTGGCAGTGCCACCTTCTGTCCCCATGCTGAGAATGCAGACGGTGAGCAGACTGTGTCACAGGCATCAGAGAGGACGATGAGAGGAGTGTTGTGTGGCTTAGGTCCTCCCAGGTTGTGACTTTTTGCGGTGGAGTAAGGAATAGTGCTTTTGCTGCAGGGTTTCCTGTGCCGGGCACCATGGATGTATGGATGCTTTTTCCAGCCCAGTCAAAAGCTGGAGGCAGTAAGAGGGTGCTACCCTGAGGGCTGCGCTCAGAGCAGAATGGTGGGGTCATGTCATAAAGTCCGGGGTCACTGGTTCTCCTCCCCTGTCACCAGCAACGTGGAGGAGTTTAAGAAGATGCCACTGAGGCCATGGCCACCCTTCCTATGAAAATGTGAGTTCTTTCTTTCTTTTCTCATTACTGTCGTTGAATTCCCAACCAAAAGTAACTTAGAGAAGTGTACTAGTTGGTTTTCTCAAAACTGTGAAAAGCCAAAGGAGTGCTGATCTTGGCTTATAATTTGGGGCACAGTTCATGACGTGGGGGAGGCAAGGCAGCAGGAGCTCAATGATGCTCGACCCCCCATCAGCGCAGTCAGGTAGCACCCACCCAGCACCCGGCTGGCAGCTCACAGCCACCTGTAACGACAGTCCCAGGGATCCTTTTCTGAGCTCTGTGTGTACCAGGCACGCACATGGGGCACATACATACATAACAGCAGGCAAAGCCTTCAAACACATAAAGTAAATCTAAAAAAAGAAAACACATCTAGTTAGGAAGCATCCTAGTCGATCGCTGCTGCACAACAATCACACTAAGACCTGGTGGCTTCAAATAGCAGACGTTTATCACAGCTCATGGTTTGGTAGGTTGGGAATTCAGGCAGGGCTGGGCACCCGATGTCGGGGTGGGTCATACTTACACCCCCCTGGATACGCACAGTGTTGGGTCTCCTAGATGACGAAGGTAGAAATCCTGAGAAGGGTGATTAGCCGTCATGGCGTGGCTCTAAAACGCCTATCAGTGAGTCTGGAAGAAGGGCAAGCGTGGCATTTGCGTGCTCCTGCCGTCTGAGGTCAGTGGCGTGGCAATGTAGGGATAGCACCAGGAAACTGGTCTCAACAGACCACCTTGTCAGCCCGAATGCTTCCAGAACCTAACCTCCGTAGGCCTCTGATGCTCTGTCGCCATGACCACACTGAAAAAGCCACACGGAGAGACTTCAGTGGACAGTCCTGTAGAACTCAGCCTTCCAGCAGTTCCCAGGGGCAGCAGTCCCCTGAATGAACCAATCCATTGCTCAGTAAGTGTTCTGAGTGGCTTCCAGCAATGCATCCTGAAACACATCAGCTGGTTCAGCCTCGCCTGAATACCTGACCCACAAAACCACGCGCCATGATAAAATGGCTGCTACTTTAAGCCACCTATGTTGGCGCGATTTGTTATGCAACAGTGGTTAACTGGAACATACTCCTAGCTAGTATAATTTCTAATCAAGTCGAAAATGTGACTTAGTCAGTGGGGCTTATCAGCTCATCACACCTCCATGTCAACAGCATCTCCCAGCTATTGTCTGTTGGTGACCCCTAGGAATGTGGGGGATACCAAATAAAAGGCTACTCTGGGGGGGGCTCCGATAAAATAATGATGGTATTACTGCAAATTAGGTCAACCATTCACAAAGTATCTTGCAGAAGCCAACCCATCAGCAGCACCTTGGCATTTCTTAGGAATGCAGGCTCTTATATCCAATCCCAGATCCAAATTAGAAGTTTGGGAGCATGCCAGCAGAACACATCTAAATGGGCCCCAGTGGTTTCAGTGCACAGGATAGAAAGGAAATCCTGCTAGAAAACATAATGGCACCTTTACCTTGTGAATCCCCTATGGCCTAGTGTTTGCTTTCTCAGTATCGACATTAAGACAAGGCAATTCTTTGTCACTTCCTTGTATATCACAGGACATTCAGCTGCATCTCTTGCCTCTACTCACCAAATCCCAATGGCACCCTTTCTTCTCATTTCAACAACCACAGAGTCACAGCAGACATTGCTAAATGTCCCCTGGAGGTTTGGAATCGCCCCCAGCAGAGAATTGGTGCCATGATCCTATAGCATAGTGTTGTAAAATGTCCTCAGGATTTGTGACAGCCACACATGCAGGCACGTGCATGCAGATGCAGCGATGACTGTCATAAAGAAAGATGTTAGCCTGGCGGTGGTGGCGCACGCCTTTAATCCCAGCACTCGGGAGGCAGAGGCAGGTGGATCTCTGTGAGTTCGAGGCCAGGCTGGACTGACAGCCTCCAAAACAATACAGAGAAACCCTGTCTCGTAAAAAAAATAAAAAAAAATTAAGAAAGATGCTTACATCCAGTTCCCTAGATGAGGGATCATGGCAAGACACTGTGGAGTACGAGCAGGGAAGCATCGGAGTCAGTCAGTCAGGAGACAGAGAGGACACCTGGATAGCAAGGGCAAAGCCTTCATTGTGGTGACTGTGGAGGAGCTGGAGAGATGAGGCGGGGAGCAGTCTTGTATGGGTAGTGTAAGTCTCACTACCTTTCAGGACATTGTCTCTGTACTTGGTCGCCTGCTACCTGATTCAGGGGCAATGAGGGGTGGGGCATAGTGGTATAACTACGAGAGAGCTCAGCTAGAGGGTTATGAGACAGTGTGTACTGAAAGATACACTTGAAGGCTGGTTGCTTGCTATCTCTAGGAATGGGCTGCACAGGGAGGGACAGTCCCTCCATGGTCAGCGTTACGTTCAGTTGTCAGCATATCAGAATAAACAGACAGTTATCCTGCTCTTCAGATGAGAGGCCTGGAATCCAGTGACCCCACCTGCTACAAGTCATATCTCCACCAACTAAAGGACCATCTGTAAACCCAGGGCTGTGTGTCTTCAAACAAAGCTCTTACTAACCTGCTGGTCTGCTGTCCATTGAGTCAATGAAGCAATTAGGAGAGCCTCTACAACTATAAGAAGATAACAGGTAGGGCAAAGAAGGACGTTGAGTAATTTCTGAATAAAATTATACACAAGACAACGAGATGGAGAATGCACACATCTACACACACAATTATACACATGTGCACACATAGATATACACATGTACACATACATAGAGATACACAGGCGCATGCATAAATATGCAAATGCTTACCCACAAGAATATACTCATCATGCACATATAAATATACTCATATATACACACATAAATATAGACATAAACTTACTCATATGCACACTAAATAAATATACAAACATGAAACTACACATGTATATACATAAACTTACTCATGTACACATGTAAAGGGAAGCCTTTTCCTTGAGAGAAGCCTTCCCACCAGCCTGGTTCCAGAACCACATCAGTCCCAAATAAACACACAGGAGGCTATATTAATTATGAAGCTGTTGGCCTTGCTTGTTTCTTACTGGCTAGCTCTGACTTAAGTATTTATCCCATATTTGCTAATCTAGGTATTTCTCTTACCAGAGAGGTTTTGGGGCTTCCTACCCCATGGCGTTACATCTTGACTTTCTGTGTTTCTCCTTCCCAGAGTCCTCCTGGACTCCTAGTCCCACCTATCTTGGTTCACTGTTGGCCAACAGTGCTTTATTGACATACACACAGGACTTCTCCCAACATCTCCTCTTTTCTGTTTAAACAAAAGGAAAGGTCTTAACTTTAACATAGTCAGATTATATATAACAGAACAGTTATCAAGTAAGAACACAGTTACAATATTTTGTCAACATTTAGCAAGATTTAAAGAATATATCATCTATCCCATCCTTGTGAGTCTAAAGTTCTATATGTAGCTTATCTTTCATCATAACTAAGGAAAACTATAACTGTAACTATCTGTCTTCAAAGACCCATCAAAGACCACAGAAGGATAATATATAAACACTAGGATTGACAGAGACATCTTGCTACCTGGACAGTCACCCAAAGGTCCTCTGTAACGTTGGGGCATCCATCTTCAGCCCATAGGCCACAATGTATCCAGAAGATTTCTCAGCAAAGCAGGAAATTTCAAAACTGTCCATCTGCATTGGCAGTCTGTGAGTTATTTCTCTGTGTCCTGCAGAAAGTCTCATAGACTCTTCCATGAATCAGAAACCCTGTAATACTGAGTTCAGCAGTCACTTTCCTGTGGGTCCTGAATGTCCAGATTATACAACAACAGTCAAGCAGTACAGGCAAGAGCAGTTTCTTGCCCAAATGGCTAATCTTGCCATGTTGAAAGCAAACTCCATAACAAGTTTCTTCGATGCCCATCTTCCTCTCAGACGTAAATGGTGCTGCCAGGAGCAGACATTTCTCATTGTCAAGAAAAACCCTAAACCATTTTAAATGCCATTTTCTGAAGGTCTTTGAAAGGTTTGAAGACTATCTCAAATATATTTCTGTATATCTAGAAAACCTAACTAACCTAATTATAAGTTCTGACTATTATAAGTAACTATCTATAGTCTGTATTGAATCATACATTACATATTAAAAGATCAGTATAAGCACAATACTTAAGAGGAGAAATATACACATCACAAAATTGACCTTGAATTTGTATCAATAAATGAAAAACAATACCAATACCATAATTCCCCCCCCCTTTTTTTTGTTTGTTTTTTCGAGACAGGGTTTCTATGTGGCTTTGGAGGCTGTCCTGGAACTATCTCTTGTAGACCAGGTTGGCCTCGAACTCACAGAGATCCGCCTGCCTCTGCCTCCCAAGTGCTGACCATAATTCCCCTTTTTACCATTAAAAAGAGATTGGCTGTGATCATTAGCCAATTATAAACAACCCCATATAAATGAAAGCAAAGATTTATAAACAAGATGGGAATTAGGACGTCGCTCATTCCAAACTGCTTTGTGCTGGAAGGGGCCGCTGTTCATACCATGGGGATCATGACAAAACTTAGAAACCTGTATAAGTCCTTATTTTCGTGGTCTGTAAAGCTCCATCATCTTAGCTGTCTCAATTGTTGGAACACTTGGCCCACTGCTTCCGGGGGTCTTGGTTCATCAAACCACAGAAGCCTGGAAGGAATCCTCAGCTTTTCATTTTCTGTAGAAACATAAATAAAAACTCCTTTCCCAAGTAACATATCCTTATGCTTAAATTTTGAAGTCAAGGCATTTTCAAAAGATATAAGTTGAATTAATTCAGCAGCATTTATAAACAAGTGTACTTTAGCATTTGTTCCTTCCTGAGCAATCAAAAAACTGAAAAACACAATAGCATACAGTATCCAGACTCTCTGTGTATTTAACATCTTTGCGTGGCTTGTTTATTTATCTATTATTACTCTATTTCTTTTACTTTTATTTATTTTTCTTTGAGACAGGGTTTCTCTTTGTAAATCTGCCTGCCTCTGCCTCTGGAGCAAATCCTACCGGCGTGCACCACCACAGCCGACTTCTCTATTTACCACTATTCCGTCTCTCTCTCTCTCTCTCTCTCTCTCTCTCTCTCTCTCTCTCTCTCTCTCTCTCTCTGTCTGTCTGTCTGTCTGTCTATCTATCTTACGTATAATTTTAAACACACTGTAAACCTTTAGAGGTTTTTCTTCATCCAAGTCTGACTTTACTGTAAATCTTTATGTTTTTCTGGCCATGTGTCTTATCTGTTAAAACCGCGGCTGTTTAAACTGCCGTTTTTCCAAGGGAAGTCCTGTGTATTTGTCAATAAAGCACTGTTGGCCAATAGCGAACCAAGATAGGTGGGACTAGGAGTCCAGGAGGACTCTGGGAAGGAGAAACACAGAAAGTCAAGATATAACGCCATGGGGTAGGAAGTCCCGAAACCTCTCTGGTAAGAGAAATACTTAGATTAGCAACTATGGGATAAATACTTAAGTCAGAGCTAGCCAGTAAGAAACAAGCAAGGCCAACAGCTTTATAATTAATATAGCCTCCTGTGTGTTTATTTGGGACTGATGTGGTTCTGGAACCAGGCTGGTGGGAAGGCTTCTCTCAAGGAAAAGGCTTCCCTTTACATACACACGTTAAAATAAATGTGCATGTGGTGATATATCATTTATGATTTATTAAATCTTGCCTGGGTGTATAGAAAGCAAAGCTAGCCACAAGTCATAGATGTCATGCAGTGGTAACACACAACTTTAATCCCAGCTAGCCATAGAGCCAGGCAGTGATGACACACACCTTTAATCCCAGGACCCAGGAGACAAGCAGATGGATTTCTATGAGTTCAAGGACATACTGAGCTACACGAAATTGATCCAGTCCTAAAGAGAAACAGCTCACACACAGGTGATCTCAGTGCTTGGGGTCACACTCCTTTAATCCCAGCAGTATGGAGGTATAAAAGGAAAAGGCAAAGGCTCCCATGGAAGAATTAGTCACCAGTTATGCGGATGAGAGGCAGCAGTCTAGGACTGCAGTCTGAGGATTAGTGGAGCTAGCAGAATTATCTTCTCAGTCTGAGGTAGAGGTGAGAGCTAGTGGCCGGCTGCTTTTCTTCTCTGATCTTCAACTTGAAGCTTGAACCCCCAATATCAGTCTCTGGGTCTTTTATTTTCTGTGTTACATATACAAATGTACACAAACATGAAAATACACATGTACACACATAAATATACACAAGTACACACAATTATAAACACACATGTACAAGCACAATAAATATACACAAGTATGCACAGACATAAACATATGTACACACACATAAATAAGTATACACATAAATATACACACAGACATGGACATAAATACATTTATACACATAAATATATAAATGAGTAAATACAAAAATGTACACATACATACACTTAGACATACATATGTACACACAAAATATATACATGTATACACACATATTCATGTGCACAAATAAAAACTATACAAAATTAAAACTACATATGTACACACAGAAAACATACACACATAAACATAGACATGTACCCAATAGATATACATAAGTATATACATAAATACATGTATAAAGCATAAATAGAGACATAAACATACCTATGCACATATATGTATATATACACAAGCATAACATCCATATGTACAGGCAAAAATATACACATGTATACACATTAATACACACATGTATTAACCCTGACCCCAAATCCCTGTGTAATCCTCATCCTCTAATCCTAACACTAACCTTGACTCTGTCTAACCCTAAACCTACCCCTTCTCCTAACCACTAACCCTTACCCCTAAATCCTAACCCTGACCCTCTGACCCTAACCCCAACCATAACACCTAATCTTTTTTTTTTTTTTTTTGGTTTTACGAGACAGGGTTTCTCTGTATTGTTTTTGAGGCTGTCGGTCCAGCCTGGCCTCGAACTCACAGAGATCTGCCTGCCTCTGCCTCCCGAGTGCTGGGATTAAAGGCGTGCGCCACCACCGCCCGGTTTCATAACACCTAATCTTGAACCCTACCCCAAACCCAAATCCCAACCCCCAACTCTAACTCCAATCCCCTAACCCCAAACCTTAACCCTGATCTTGCCCCTCACTGTCTAAACCCTGATCCTAATCTTCTACCCCAATCAAGCCTAACTCCTTAACTCTCTAAACCTAACTTTCTAACTCTAACCCCTAACCCAAACCCAAAACCCCAGCTCCCAATCTTAACCCCAAACCCTAACACCTAACCCTAACCCTCAATCCTAAACCCAACCCTGACTCTGACCCCTAACCCCAACCCTATTCCCAAACTACAAATGCTAACTGCTGGCCTTTCTTTAAAAGACACTCGACAAGCTTGTGTTATGCTGGAGTCGCTGTGAGGAAAACGGATAAAGGCTCAACAGTGCACGTGTCTTTGCAAAGACCCAAAGAATGACCAGCAGTTCACATATGAAGGAAAGAAAGGTGCCAGGGGTTTCATGTGACCCTGCAGCACACCCTTTCCTATGAAGGAAGATGTTCTGTGTGGGATCCAATCAAGCTGCTCCTATGACAGGATGACCAAAAAATG